GCCATAGGTCAACTCCACTTGTCAGTAACTTGGATTCACGGTCTTTCGCAGACGAGTTGGTTAAACACAGGATCCTCTTTACTATTGTTTGGTACATTTGACTAAGCTAAGGAGCTTTTTCAAAATATTCTCCATTAAGATCTATATACGTTTGCATGAGTTAGAGCCAATTGTCGAAGCATTTTTTCCACTCTGTTTGAGGTTCATTCAAAACATGCCTTCTGAACGCATCAAAGGTTTAGTCTTTTCAAAAAACGAGCAAACCATTTGCTTGGAACTGCTTTGTTTTTGTTAGATTCAGCTCATTTTGAAACACTTATACAGTCGACAGCTGTTTACTTTCGGACTCAACCTTCGCCTTCCATGACAACCCTCATAAGTTGGATTAACGAGTTGTCAGCAATCGGTTTTGAAATAGTCCCTCCCAGCAATGCTGAATACGGCTACCACGGAGAATAACAAAACCAAAGCTCAAAATCTCGTATCAACACAGAAGCGTTGAAAGTGCGCGAAAAAAGGGGAACTGTAGACATAGTATTCAAAAATCTCGTTTTCTTCTGTAGGCGAAGTACTTATCGGGGCGCCCTCGTAAGTTTATACCTAGACAGCTAATATACAGTATATCGATATGGATTTGACAACTGCACACACTCATTCATATGACAGAATCAACAATTGCCAGCGCAGTTTGCGCTCCTCCCTTACTGCTCTGTTTGTCTTGCAAGTTGCCAGGCACAGCCTTGACCTTCTTGCGGCATTGTTCTTTATTATTTTAAGTTTTCTTTTTTCGTGTTCGGTTACAAAGTATTTAGGCAAGTTAAGTAGAATGCATGCAGTCTTTGACGGCGCAGTAAATGACGTTCTTCATCAAATTTACTGCTGTTGTTGTAGCCCTTTGTGGCACACATCTTCTTATAGACGGAAAAGGGAACGTAAAATGTATGCATATTCATGTTATATTATAGTATATATAAATACGTATATATGTAAATGTTTTATGCAGCGCCGCAATCGATATCCTGAGAAATGGATTTCCGTTGCTTGCGGCAACTTCAAAATTATTGGCAATTGTCAATTTTATTGCTGGCTTAAGGGACATATTTTGTGTTTGTCGAATATATATACTCACATACATAAATACTTTAACATATAAATGCAGAAATGGCGCATTTGTTGAGGATGTGGCATATTGACTGAAAGTCGCTTGATTTTTTAAAAGTTTAAAAAATTAAAAATTATTGCAACAAATAACATTTCCTTTAAAAGAAATCAAAATTACTAGTGAACTGAAATCCACTCGAAACTTCTGCGAAATAGCCACTCAGTTTTTCAAATATCGATCTGAAAATTGTTATAAGTCCTTTCCTTTTGGAGAAGCTGCTCATTTGTCGAAATCATCGATAGGGAACTAGAAACACACCGATCAGAACCAAGTTTTTGAAAAAAAAAATCTAAAATGTTGATGTAGACGATTTTCGGTTTCAACAAGACGGCGCTACCTACCAAGCTTTCAACGAAGCAATCAATTTATTGAATCAAATCAGATAAGCCTGAGACGATTGCCCAAATATTCAAAATATTCGCGTTATTGCTGACATACGGCCTCAACTGCTGCAAAATGTTGTCCCGAATTGGACATGTCGGATCAGAATAAAATTTATACTAACTAGCCGCGGGGTAACATAACCGAAATACATAATGACAAACGCTTATATTTACGGCAACATTAAATTATTTGCGTTCTATTTCGTCTTGAAAATCACAACTTTAAAAAACCCCCCTCATTATCTTGAGGTCCTAAACAAAAACCTAAATTACTACTGTGCAATTAGCGTATATATAACTATATTCTCGCCAAAAGGGTTCAAGCCAGTTACAAAAAATTAACTTTAGAACCTCTACCTAGCTCTACTGAAGTAAAATAACAGATATACAAGTACAACATAGTACAAATCACTAGCAACAAATACCTGTTTCAATGAATAGCAATAGAGTGATCGAAATCACAAAAAACAACGATATAATGAATATATTTTCTCTATCATTACAACCAGCTAATGGATAAAATTATCAATTTACTTTCCAATGCTTCATAAATTTATTTTAATTTTTTGCGAACAAAAATTTAAATTTTTAATATTAAATAGTTTGTTCAACTGTTTCGTAATAGAGATACAAGAAATGGATTTGAGATGAACCACCACATTTATATATCTACATGTGTAGATATGTATGTATATCGCTAAGCTGAAGGTTTCGTAATAGTAGAAAACGCTTAAATTATTGAACGCAGCTGCGGAGCTCACTCAGTTCATTCAACTGTGACTAATATTTACGCCAAAGCTGAAGTCGAAGCCACACATTAAGGTTAGGTTTTTTTAAAGAAATGAGAAAAGGAAAATTAAAAGAAATATACAAAATTAACAAAACAAAACTGCAAAATATTTTGTAATAGAATTTAAATGGCAAAATGTGATTATTTTTGAAGACAAAATAGTCTTAAAAAAAAGGCGAAGTCAAGAAGTGATATGAAGCTCTAAGAATTTTATATGAAAACAAGTGTAGGAGTTTGAAAGAGGAGGGTTGAGCAGAAAATAGTGCATGACTAATACAGCTGTGTAAACTGACGTCGTGCTATACCGAAAGTTTCATCAGGATCGGGAAGAACCTCTCCGAGACGTTCGATACCAAAGGAGACTTCAGACAAGGGCCTGGAGAAAATAATTCCAGCTGTAGATCTGAATAGAGAAGGTACAATCTTCTATAATAGTACTTGGAATTTCCAATTGTCGCCAAACAGCGAAAAGGAAGAACGACTGGCGCACTGTTGTAAACTTGACTATATACAATGTGGAATTAAATAGAATCCATGGAAAGCCAGTCGTTGAAAATATAGATAAAATAATAGAAATTGTCGAGTCCGGACGTCGTAAAAGCATTTTTTTTTAATGGATCCTGTCTCTTATACACATCTAGATGTGTATAAGAGACAGACTATATACAATGTGGAATTAAATAGAATCCATGGAAAGCCAGTCGTTGAAAATATAGATAAAATAATAGAAATTGTCGAGTCCGGACGTCGTAAAAGCATTTTTTTTTAATGGATCAGCAAAATATTACACAACAAGTAAGGAAGGGCTAAGTTCGGGTGTCACCGAACATTTTATACTCTCGCATGATAAAGTGATAATCGAGATTTCAGGCGTGGTTGTGAACSGATTTCACCCATATTTGGTACATGTCATCACGGTGTTAAGAAAATATTATATACCGAATTTCATTGAAATCGGTTGAGTACTTCCTGAGATATGGTTTTTGGTCCATAAGTGGGCGACGCCACGCCCATTTTCAATTTGTAAAAAAGGCCTGGGTGCAGCTTCCTTCTGACATTTCTTCCGTAAAATTTAGTGTTTCTGACGTTTTATGTTAGTCGGTTAACGCACATTTAGTGATTTTCAACATAACCTTTGTATGGGCTGTCTCTTATACACATCTAGATGTGTAAAAAGAAACGACTCTATACAGTTTGGTTGACATAGCTATAGTAGTTTTCGAGATATGTACAAAAAAGTTAGTAGGGGCCGGGGCCACGCCCACTTTTCCAAAAAAAATTACGTCCAAATATGCCCCTCCCTAGTGCGGCCCTTTAAATAGTAATCAGTCAACTTTTCAAGGTTTACATGACATTATCAGTATTTATAACCTAGTTTTCTCTCAAAAGGGCTACAAAAAATGTTTAAAAAATACATGGAGTCGCCAAACCGAACTCTGGCAGCTCCTTTTTTGCCCATATATCGGCGAAGGAGTTTTAGGTGGGAAAAGGCCGTTGTAGGAGAGGAACAGTGAGATTCTTTACGGATGGGTCAAAGCTTAGGGAGAAGCTTGGTGGAAGGACTTATTATCGGTACTAGCCTTGAACTCATCAACAGTGCGTTCAGCGTTAGTCGATGAGTGCCTAACCTCGCTATCAATAGCACCGAGTGTATCTGTAGACTGATATGCGTCCCAGGCTACAGAAGAATCGCTGTGATGATGATGATTGTAGGATGATTGCTTCCTACAGACGGCCCATTTGTTGTCAGTATCCTCTTGTATCAGTGCGTGCGCTATCGCAAAAGCCTTTTGTGCAAAGATCGTTCATAACAGACCGAAATATCTTTTTGACCCTAGTAAGGCTAGTCTAATTCTTACAGACCATTTCCCTATTGGGGTTCATGCTGTAAGGCAGGAAATCTTCCCAGACACCATCTGCAGAAGCTGCATAGATGACTTGAAGACTGCTCAACACTTCCTTATTGACTGCCCCGCGTTTGGAAAGTGAAGACTTAAACACTTGGGGCGCTTACCTTTAAACAGCCAACCGAACTGGAGGGAATGGAAATTAAACGACTGTGCAAATTTGTATAGAGGCTTACTAAACGGTTTGCTAATTTATAATTTCGAACACTGGAGGGTTCTTTTATATGGCTTCACAAAGGACTACATATAGCTTTGTTTTCGAAGCTATGAATGTAATACTAAATCAAAAACTTACTATATAAATGTGCGCAATAAACAATAGCTCATCAAAAAAAAAAAAGAAAGAAACACAACCATGCTAAAATGAGGCACCTCGTCTCCTCTCGATCGTTACCTTTCCTACAGCAGGCGGCTCGCCGATTGAGGTGATTATGCTGCTAATGATCATTACAAACGGCGCAAGAGTTAAAACAGTTATATTCGATTTCCCCCCAAAATTTTATTGTTGTTAACTTTTTTGTTATTATGCAAATTAATTAATTTTGCTCATGTCTTGTCGTTAAAAACTATTATAACCGCTATTTAGACAAAGAAAAAAGAATAAAAGACAATTCCTCCGTTGGGAGCGCCGCGCAGCTGCACTGGGAATTATGATTATAATAATCAGACAAGTCTGTGGAGATGACTATCACTTTCTTGGCTTACAAGCATAATCGTCACAAAAGAAATTTACCTTGGAGCTTGACGCGTCGAAATGCTCCAACTTTTTCACCAACAAACCGTCACGCACATTACTAATTAAGCAGTTAAAACGAGCAGATCGCGTTGACGGTTCGGTATATTTTCGGCGAGTTCGATCGTGTCAAATTATTAATAGAAATTGAATGCGAAATAGTTTGAGGAAGTTTAAAGGATGCATATAAACTTTCACTTAATGCTTTTGACACTTCTGCAATTATGCTTGTTGTTGTTGCCGGCAGCAAACGCGCAAGCTATGCTAGAGTTGCCAGTCGATGTGAATGAAATGCCCATTAATTTGGTGGAAATACCGCGTACGAGCATCCTGGCGCGTATTCCATTCTTTCGCAACTTTCTACGTGCAGTGCGTCCGAACGCGCACGTCGGCCGAAAATCCGATTATCGCAGTGAGTTCGATGAGAACTATATCAACTATCACGGCGCTCAGTTGTGGAAGGTTATATTTAATGCAACGCGCAAACGCAGCAGCTTTAACAAGCGCACGGAAATGATGCAGACTTTTGTGGAGAAATTCGGTAAGTCGGTGAATTATTAAGTGGCACACCTTCGGCTTTAGAGTACAATGTACGAATGAGATTATAAATAGGTTATAAATTCCGTAAGGCATGAAAAATTTCATAGAGCAGCTAATAAATGTATCAGTAGAGCTCTAAAAATAGAGCACCCAGACAGAAAAAGTTATTTTACAATTTCTACCCGCATAATCGTTCTGTAAGCAACTGGCAGCGAAGTCAGCTCTTGGACTGTGGATATTTTTTGTAATACAGAACATCTGTAATAAGAGACATTCTAAGATACCCAATACCGCGGCTTTTCAAAATCCTATGGAGTTAAACTTATATTAGATAGAATAGAACGTAATGTTGGGGGTTCTATTCTAGCTTAGAGTGAGAGAGAGATGAGTTGGACAGGGAGTGAGGTATAAGCATCAAGCTCGATAAACGAGTGGAAGGAGATTCCTTTTGAGCAAAATTAGATACAAAAATTGCCTTCCGACTGCCAGATCAATGTTTTCCCAAGTAGAGATCTCAGCAATTAAAGAAAGCCAACTTGTTCTTATAAAGAGGTTTATCACAATAAGAAATATATTTCTATATAAAGACAACCAAACGGCTTTGAAAACACTAGTCACTTAGGGTACAATCTTAGATAGTGAAAGAATGGCTTAATCTCTTAATGAATATAACATCTTTTTTAAAATAAAAATATAATGGGTTCCAAGACACAGTGGTATTCAAAGTAACTGAGAAGCAGTTGAACTAATCAGAGAAGAGATCACAATAAAATTAGACGCCGATAAAGGCGTTAGTTGTATATTTTATCGACTAGAGCACTAACTTGCTCAACAAGCAGGCAAATGTGGCACGAATAGGATATGGACAGCCTTTGCCAACTACTAAAATTCAACAGTAATGACATACGAACTCTAGGAGGTGTATGATGGTCCATGGACTCGTTCGCACATTTCGACTTTTAACTGACGAATGATATGCGTGATATTTTGCAAAAAAGCCTGATTCGAAGCGGTATAGTCCGCATATTCTTAAAACTTTACATATCGTCACAAGAAAAGGTCCAACAGTGTGATATCACACGATCTTGGTGGCCAATCGAATGGCCCAGAATGTGAAATGATCTGCTGACCGAAGTGTTCTCTCAATAAATCCATTGATTGATGCGATATGAATGAAGTGGCGCCTTCTTTTTGAAATCAAATGTCGTAGAGATCAAGAGCTTCAATTTCAGACATCAAATAGTCGGTTATCATTGCGCGATTACGATCGTCATTGACGGTTACGTTCTCACCGGCTTCAGATTTGAAGAAATATTGACCAATGAGTGTACCGGCTGACAAACCACACCAAACCGTTGGTTTCTCTAAATGAAATGGCAGCTCTTGAATCTTTTCAGGATGCTCTTCGCCTCAAATGTGGTAATTTTGTTTACATACCCATTGAGTTAGAAATGGGAATCATCGCTAAACAAATTTTGGTTCGAAAACGTCAGATCTTCTTGGAACTTTTTAAGAGCTCATAGAGCAAAGCGATGTCACTTGAAAAAAACGAACGTCTTGCACAAGCTGTACTTTATACGCTTTCTATTTAAGATCTCGACGTGAATTGCACCAAGTCTTTCCATACGACAGTGCGAGTTGCTGCGAATAGCGCCGAATCGACTTCCCACGGTCTTCGTGTACACTTTCAGCTATGGCTTCTATATTTCCATAACTGCGGGCTGAACAAGGTCTAATCGGTCGAACATTATCCAATAACGAAAGCTGAGTCTCAAGCTGGGTGATGATATTACAAAGAGTACGCTCAGTAATCAGATTATGTTGACTATAAGTTGAGCGAAGCGCGCGAAACACACTCTTTATAGAACGTGAATTTTCGTAATAAAGTTGACTGATTTGTAAACGTTGTTCAAGCGTAAGGCGATCCACGATGAAACGCCAAAGAATACTGAACAAACCGAACAAAATACGACTCACGCGTAATCTGTCGCAAAAACGGTATGGAAAAAAGTACATCTACTTGGACCACCCATTATATGAATGTATATAATCGTTTAATAAGTATTTGAAAACTCACTTTCTGAAGAAAATTTCACTTAATTACAACCATCCGGTTTAGTTGAGTAAACATTTATTCGAAATGTTCATTTAATGAGCTAAACCGAATTTGCGAATTAGTCAATCCATATTGCGAAAAAATTGGCAAAAAAGAGAAACAAATATTGAAATGAAGTTGAAAGTAGAAAATGTTAATTAATCCATGGCTGGCCAAAACTATTCTAACGGCACTGCGATCTCCCAACTCTCCCAATATTTATTTGCTAAAATTTTGCGTTTGGAGGCAAATATAGCATGACCGCCTCTGCCGCATTGGTAACATGCCAATGACATGACACGCAAACCCGTTATTCGGTGTTCTTGCATAAAATTTTCATAAATCATTATCTAAGTTTGTTGGTCAAACCGAAAAAGAACTAAACATAACTGGCTTATTTAAATAACGAAATTCCAGATTTGCGCTTAATCGGTCTTCGCACCGAGTTTATTTGGTCAGTAGTCGAAAACGCCGCGTGCACGTTGGGTCTGTAAATTAAATCTGGCGATACGCAATATCGCTAGACAAATTTTTCTAAATTGTAAATTGAAACACTGTAACTCGCATAATGTTAATAAAATACTTGTGTTACAATTCGCTTGTGATTTCGCTGTTATTATTACTGAATCTGCCGAGGCATCCTTGTCGGAAGCAGCATTCACATTTCTTTTTATTACGCAGTATACCCGGTTTTCCGTCCGCGCTCATTTCGAGCGATGAATTGTACGAGAATACTGTGGAGAGTTTACAGTGGCTGGTGCCGATGGACATACGACAACTGAACATTTTCTCACCGCAATCTTCGTATCAGATTAACTTGCGATATCGCAATAGTAGCTCGGTGAAGCGCTATCCCGGTTTTCAGTTGTGGAAGATACATGAAAACAATATTGAAGATAAAGTGCTCAGAACGTTTTGGCGACTTTTCGGTTAGTAGTTGTGCAATTGTTGTTTCTGGGGGGTGGTTATAGTGAAATATCGCATATTGGTTTGAAATTAGAAAAAATAGAGTTGGTTAGTAAGGATTGTAAAACAAAGTTGTGCTTTGAAGATCGCCAGTGATCTACTGACCCCCATTATATTACAAAACTATATACGTAGTACGCAGATCATAAATTATTTCCAAGAACATGTTTATTTGAAAAAAATATATATAAACACAAGTGAGGAAAGGCTAAGTCGAGTGTAGCTGAACATTTTATACTCTCGCAACTTGTAAGCATCAAAGCCGGGAAAATACCGTCAATGGAAGTATTGCCCTGATATCATCGATTTTAGGCAAGAGGATTAGAAAGAGTTTCTTTCTGAATTTTATGAAGATTTCTTACGATAGATGCGGTAACAAGTCAACCGGAAGTTCGAAAATTTTCATTTTAAGCATAAGGAAAGTATTGGCCAATTTTTGACAGAAGAAATGCTATCATCAAAAAAATATTCTCTGCGAATGTTAATACTAGACCTCACAAATTGAACGATATGCTTGGTAAAAACTACAGTTAAATGCATAATTTGGTTAAAATTGGTGAAGTAGTTCCTGGATTATGGAGTCATGCAGAAGTTTACGCAAGTAACGAAAGTTCCCTGAGCGGCATTCACTTGGAAGTGGCCAGAAGCAATTTTTCTACATATGAGCGCTGGGTTTGGGACCCGCCACGTAAAAAAAACTCCCCAAATTAAAAGAAGAAAAACTCTTGCCAATAGGTGCTACTTCGGATTGATTGCTCTTTCGACGAACAAAGACCAAACTCTATAAGTCCCTGATCATTCCCGTGCTGCTATATGGTGCACTGCGGAAGCATGGACAAAACATCATCTGATGAGTCGGCCTTAGGAGTGTTCGTGCTGTGCGAGATATACGACTGCCACGTTGTGGCAAAGCTGAGACTACGCCAATAAAGAAAAGAATTTCCTGATATATAGGACTCAACCTAAAATAGACAGTTTCAAGCCCTTTGTTAAATTTTTATACCCGAACTTACAAAGCAGTTCCTTCTTTCTAACAAGTTTGGTTGATTTAGCTTCAGTGGTTTGGAAGATATGTACATTACATAATTCAGAAGGGTCACGCCCACTTTTTTTAAATTTACAAGTTTTTGTTTAATAGCCCTTTGTGGGCGTGCAGTGGTCTCTCTTGCAACAAGAATCTGTCTGTAAACAGAGAAATACGTAAACCAACCTTGCTTGTCGTTTTCACGTCAGAATGGTCTTAAGAACTGTTATTTCGGCTTTAGTTTAGTTAAGTTGCAAGTATTAACTGGTGATCAAGTAGAGCAACTTTTTTCAAAATTTTTTTTTTTTTGACAGGTCACAGGTGAGTCATTATTACATTCGACCGAATAGACCACATCGTGAAGAAAATATAGCATCTGAGACGTAGCCGCGGCTAACATTTGAAAGAGATAATTTTCCAAAAATAAATGCCAAAGAATTTTCTTTCGAATGTTAAAAAACATTCCTCATTAAATTTGAAGTTTCTGTGATTTTTCTCTAAAAAATGTAGGGAACCTCGAAATGGATCATTCTTTACATATGTACGAACTCATATCTTCAATCTTTTAATATTGTTGCTCATCAGCTGTCATACTTTATTTGCTTGATAAGGCTATTAAATTTAATTTTCACTCATCTTGTACGTAAAAATATCACTTTACATTTCACTTTTCCTGCATTTTAGGCACTGAGGTATGGAATATAAATCAGGATGGTATCGATGTCTTAATTGACTACAAGAATACAGCCAAAGCCAAAGAGTTCATAGCGAAAACAGATTTCACCTACAATATAATGATTGACGATATTGAAACGGCGATCGATGAGACTTATACGGAAGTGAATAACAGCAATGCAAATATGCCGTGGTTAGATAGAGACAGTAAGTGGAATTTGGGTCAAGTGGATTAATTTGGATTTTATTATGATTGGCGAAAGATAAGAAATGTAATAAAAACTTTTATAGGTACAATATTGAATTGGAATCGCTACCACGATATTGGTGATATACAGCAGTTTCTGCAGCACATTTTGGAAACATATCCGGATTTGGCGGAGATAGTGCAAATCGGTGTGACGCATCACAAACGACCGTTGGAAGTGCTGCGGTGAGTGAAAACGGTCGTTAGATGTAAAGCAAATTTATGCAAACTCATAAAATTGCAATTGAAATGAAATGAAATGAATTTACATATGAAATGACAAAACTAAGCGTTCACTGACATTTTACAGCATCTCCAACGGCAATCCCAAGAACTGGGCTGTCTTCATTGACGCCGGCATGCAGGCACGCGATTGGCTGAGTCCCGCCGCGCTAACACTCGCCATTTCGAAGCTAACTTGGCTGTGGGACAACGAGCCGTCGGTTATGCATAACATAGATTGGTATTTCTTGCCGGTGGCGAACCCGGATGGTTATCAATACGCGCGCATCACCGATCGTCTGTGGACGAAGAATCGCTATTTCGATAGTCAAACCGGTTGTTATGGCGTTAATTTGAATCGCAACTACGACTATCAGTGGGGTGGTGCGGGTTCATCTGAAAATCCCTGCAAGAACCTCTTCAGAGGTCCGAAAAAATTCTCCGAACCGGAAACGAAAGCAATACGTACCTTTATGCATAATATGCGTGAATTTCTGGGCGCATACGTTTCGTTCGGCGCCTATGGCCAGGCAATCGCCTATCCGTGGGGTGATGCGGACTACGTGACGGACAACCAGCGCAAGCTGCACAATGTAGCGCGACGTGCAATGTTGGTGAGTGTTGCAACAAACTAAAAATCAATTTACAAGCCACTATAAAATGGTTTGCCATTGTTTGAATTTCTTTTTGACTTTTTCTGGCTTTTATTGTTGCCATTGTGTGGCCGCCATTACACGTGTTGATGTTTTTGTTTTATTTGATTTTTTAGAACTTTCGCAAATTGAATCAAGCCGAGTACCGTGTGGGCACTAGCTATCGACTGAAATTGGCACGCGCCGGCAACTCGGCCGACTGGGTGCAGCAACGCATTAATCCCCAATACGTTTACAATGTATTTCTGAAGGACCAAGGGCGCTATGGGTACTTGATGCCGCCGCATTACATTGTCGAATCGGGCGAGGAGGTTTACGAATTTATGAAGACAATAGCGACGGCGCTGAATTGAAGCCGAGCCAAAAACTGCATGCCACAAATCCATGTGGTTGAGAAGGAATATTAAACATTCCACCCTTTTGCAAGGAGGGTGGAAGAGCACAAAATGCATGGCGCGATTGGGAAATTTCAAACTCTTAAAAAACAAAAAAAAGTATTTAAACAAAGTTTAGCAGACGCTTTCAACTTTTTTGCATGCGATGTTAGGTTTAAGCAAACATATTTACTAAATAATTAAGCTTATTTATTTATAAATTTTAGTGTAAATATGGACGAAAATAATAAAATGCAATTAGTTTAAGGTTTCTGTGCACTAATTTCTCGCCTCGAGGTTAAAAATGCCGACAAGGCAAAGCAACATGAGACCTCGCAAACATTTTGCACAAATAACGGTCAATACCGACGAGGCAGTTGCCTAAACAAAATGCGACATGAAGCAGGCCAAACAAATTGCATAGATAACGGTAAATATTTAAGTTTCTAAGTACTACTTCCTCATCTCGAGGTTAAAAATGCCGACGAGGCAGTTGTCTAAACAAACATGTTGCAAAAATAAATAAATATTTAACACCTATCTTAGAAAAATATTTTATTTACACAAGTGCAGCACAGTAAGTTGAGGTTGCATTAAAATTTAAACAAATAGTAGACAATTTACACGAACAACCATTTAAATGCACGAAGAAAGCATTGAAGGCATATTTAACTGTTTTTTTTTTTTTTTTTTTTGCAACTCTTTCAAACAAATTTATGTAGATTTGCTTTAAATCTTAACGCAACTTATTTATTTATCCATATGTAACGCACTTACAACTGGAATTCGTGGCATATCTTTAGGCGTCACGAAAAAACGAATATCTGCGGTAGATTGGTACACTCACAGCCGTACTTACGTGACGGCTGGGCTTAATATAATACTATATACCTACATACATATTGTAATATTGGGTGGTCGAAAAAGTCTTTTATTATTTTAATGTAATCATGACCATTATTGCCAGCTTACCTGCAAAAAATTAAATAAAATTGCGTTAATTCAACATTTTATGCCAGATATGATATATGTACATCTATAGATCTACCAAAATAGTATAGGTATAAAACAAATTGAAATTACAGTATAAATTTAAGTGATCAGGTATGTAAACAAGCAAAATTGCCGCATTATATATTGTCCTAAATTTTCAAGTCGATCCGACTAATAGTTTCGGAGATACAACCTTGAAAAAGTGGACGTAGGTAAAACTTTAAACGCGTTTTTCTCGAAACTATGTTTTCAAAGGCGGTTGTCAAGATTTCTCGCGAACTACTTAACCGATCTTGATGAAATTTTACGCAGGTCTTCGAGATATCATTTACAAGGTCTTGAACGAAGGATTTCTTTTTTTTTTTTAATTACAACTATTATGGATGCACCTTTTTTCCGAGGTACTGCCGGAAATGGCGTCGTAATGACTGCCATTTTGATTTTTTTTTTTTTAATTTTACAAAAGGTTCATATTTAGTCATTTAATTTAAAAAAAATTTCATTAAAATATTTCATTTTTTTTAATGTAAAAAAGTTATTGAAAAAGGCCATTTTTTGCCCAAGGAAACTCATGTAACCCCTTAAGAGCTGGCATTCCAACCAGAAAAGAACAAAGGGTTTTTGTGATTTGTGGAATTATCGATTTATACTATTATACCAAGCTAAAACTTATTAAGGAATTTATTACTACAAGATTATCAAAGATCATTAAATATGTAAAACTAATAGAATAGAAGGAAAATGTTGTTTTTATAGCGGCTTGGTGTAAAAATATTATTTTTCGTTTCTACAAAATGGTGTCAGATGATTTTTTCGTATACCTAACCGATAAGATATCAACGGCTGATTGAAGGTTGCTTATTTTAAGGCAACTTTTTTCTAATGAATTATATAATATAAATTTATAACAAAATGAAAAAAATATTTTAAATTAAACTCATATTTTTGTAGGAGAATTGCTGCCTAACCTATTTTTTAGAGTACAAGTGAAAGATTTTTTTTCCGCAACCTAATAAATATGTTACTGTAGCATAAAGTATCTGTTTTAAGTTATTATTTGATAGCTAAAACCTATTTAAACTACCTCTAAATAGAGTTATCGTCCGCTTATTATACCTGAGGAAAACCCAAAGTCATTCTTCTAAAACAACATACCGGTCAATTTTAGGTAATACTGAAATATTTTTGTGAGAAAGTCTTACAGAAAATTGTTATTGCACACCTCCATGCCATGGACAACTGAAGCAAAAATTTAAATACTATAAGGAGAGCATACGTTGTTCTAGACGGGACCAGTCCTAGCACAATTGACAGTCCTCCACAAATCACTTTCACCACCACAAATATCTCAAATTGATTGTTTTTATTTCAGTTTTTTTTAAATCGGAGCAGAGAGTTTTTATATGGTTGAGGTCAGGAGGCGTAACCTCAACTTCGTTGGCTCCACACCACTTCATTGTGCTTGTTTGGGCATTGTCGCTTATATGTTAAAGGTCGTTATCTTGTTGGTATACGAATATCAAGGGTATATTTCAATTATCATTATGACATGTGTCCCTTGATCAATGACGCCTTCAATCATTGGACCAACCAATTGAATGCATGGCAAGCAATCAAAGAAGTAATAGAAGGCTTGTTGGGAAGCATCGTTCTAACAACTACGATGTTTCTGTCTCGGAAATTCGTTTTTTTTTTTTTTGGTTTTTGGCAAACTGTTACAACTAAGCGAAAAAACATCAAGATAAGGAAAAAATTTAAAAGGTCATAAAAAAACTGACACATACGAACGCCAAACCCTTTGAGGGTTTTACTATACTGACCTAGTACCATCACCCTGACTTGGAATTTCTCACCACAGTGTGATCGGTCACAAGCGTCGATTGATTTTGAGCAATTGTTGGTCGTCAGTCAATTTGTGCATATTAAACCATGCATACACCTTTCGTAAGCCCAAATGTTCGGTCAAAATGCGATAAATCGATATTTTGGACATGTTCAATTCCATTTCCATGAATTTCGATGATGATTTCGGCTGATTTTTGATGAATTCACGCACAGTATCGATGGAATTTCCGGTGATCACGGATTTTGATTGGCCCACATATTGAAATGTTTCAGTAAAATTTTTACTAATTTTAACACAAAATTTAATGTTGGCTCTTTGTTCGAAGCTCATTTTCGCACCGATAACACAAACATACTGACACTAGAAACGCAATAACTTCACTTCTAATGTAAGGAGTTATCCTGCCAACGTAGGCGTATTTTTTTCCGAGGGTCACGAGAATACCGTCGCAATGACCTAGTTTAAAATATTTTTTTCCAAAAATTTTAGAATTCTTTGTTAATAGCGTATGTTTGTAGCAATAAAAAATTCTAATAAAATATTTAATTTTTTACATGTGAAAAAAATGTTTGAGAAAAGACTGTTTTTTACACGATAAACCTCATGTAACCCCTTAACGTCAACAAAAACCCATGTAACCCTTTAACGTCAAGTTTTTAAGCAGGTACTCAAGCAAACATGACCGTCGCTTTCTATGAAATATGTGAACAATTTATTTGCAAGCTGATATCAAAGATGTCAGACTATAATAGACAATGCGGAAGATTGGAGCAAGTATTGAATAAAGAACCGCGATAACATTTTTCCAATAAACGCAACGTAAGTCGAAAATCCATATTGAAGAGAACTTTACGCTTTTAACAAGCTAATGCGGTTACGATTCGCTTACGCAAAAGAGATGCTTACAGATAAGACAAATGCATTTTTCCCAATATAAATATATATATTTTTTATTTACAAACATTACTAAATGACTATTACCGGATTTACCCAAAACAATATTACTTAATGAGAAAAGACACGACTTTATAGCTATGAGTATATTTACAGGGTGGTTCATAGATTTGTTTCTTTTCAATTTTTGATAAATTCAGAAAATAACATTGATAATTACCAGTTGGTTTGAAAGATATCAAAATGGTGTTACTAATAGCATAATCCAGCATCTTAAGAAAATACCACTAAGCCAATGGCTTAGGACGGCGCTTATTTCTATCTCACGAGAATTGTATATGGTATTGAGAGCTCTCTCACTCTCTCACGTACTGGTTCTACACCGCCATTGTAAGACCAATACTGCTCTACGATGTAGTAGTATGGTGAACAGGCATACGACCTACCGGAAGCCAATGGAAGGGGTTCAGATTCTCGCCGCGCTGGTCATAATGGGAGCCCTAAGAATAACACCTATAGACCTCTTCGCTGAAAACTGCGCAGCAAAATCGACGGGTTCATATAGAACCTTTGGGCATAGCTCGGTGGGTAATGGCGGTTGGACAAACACCCACTACATGATTCCACTTTTTTTAACTGGGAAAGAAGGTTCGAATTAAACATAGACAAAGCTGGCTGGAGTTAAGCTAGGCGTAACACTCTATACATCTATACGGATGGCTCGAAAATGGACAATGGAGTGGGGTCGAGAATATATTGTCCAGAGTTGGGCATAAGGCAGCTTTCCAAGTTGTCGGACCAATGCATTATATTTAAAGCTGAGATTTTTGCTATTGCGAAAGCCGCAGAGTCGGGCTCTAATGTACCTGTAGGCAATTCCAGAGGCAACATCTATGTAGACAGCCAAGCAGCAATTAAGGCAGTAACCTCGTATCGCATATAACCCTAAAGTGTCAAGTTCATTCTAAACTGTCAAAATGTCATATGAACCAACCTGTTTTTTATTATTGCTCACCGTACTTATACAAATATACACCCATATGGACATTAGTAGCATCATTAATATTCAAATATTACAAATACTGAGTCACTCAATGTGTTTTTTAAGGGCTGGGCGGGAAACGCACGGGCTTTAACAGCGCTGCAATTGTTGACTCTCATCACGTTCAGCACAAAACCAAAGAATTTTTCTTTTTTTTTCAAACAAAAAAGCAAAAGAAAAGAAACAAAATTCCGGCATTTCTTTTTAGCAAGCAAACCAAGATTATATTGATTTAATAAATTCGCGTTTCCCCTTTCTTTAAAAAAAAGCACTAACCAAAAAATTGTCTAACCAAACTTTTTTACGCGACTTTTAGCTAAAATGCGATGCGATAAGACTGCGAAAGAAGCAATCGATTAAAATGAAATGTTACACAATCACAACAATAGTTAGGTAATAGTGAAAATAATTAACATATGTCTGTTATTTACAGGCGTCAAGCGCAAAACAAACAACAACAAGCGGTAAAGCGTTAATATTTAATTAGAATATTGACATAAAAAAGTTGAAAACGAAACTAATCCGAAATTGTGAGCATTTGTCGCTGTCTTTGCTGGTAACAAGCAAGCATTTAGAGACCTTTGTGTGCCTTCATAAGTCGATTTTCGATTTTAGCCGATTTTAGTGATGTATCTAAAGTCAACACTTTCACTTTTGAAGTGAGAAGTGAGATTTTGAGATGGCGCTTTTGATTTATTCAAATAGTGCACACATTCACATAAGT